GCGGTCGCCGGAGGGGCCCTTGGGTAGCTGCGACGCGATCAGAATGCGGGCGATGAGCGAGTAGAGGACGCAGGAGAGCAGCAGCGGCACCACGTAGAACACCACGATGTCCGTGAAGTAGTAGTAGAGGTACTGGTCGCGCGACAGCTTGAAGGTGCACTCCTGCGTCGGGTAGTCGACGGCATAGCGGAGGGGCACCACCTGCGTCAGGAAGAGCCAGGGCGTGCAGTAGCACACGGCGAACAGCCACACGAGCAGCGTGATCTTCTTGGCGCGCTCCACCGTGCACACCGTCTGCGCCTTCATCGGGTGGCAGATGGCGATATAGCGCTCCACCGTGAACGCCGTCAGGCTGAGCGAGCTGGCGTTAATGCCCAGGTTCTGCAGGAAGACGAGGATGGCGCAGCCGCCGCGCCCCCAGATCCAGTGGTTGCCGATCAGGAAGTAGCTGACGATCTCCTGCGGCACGGCGGCCACCAGCACGGCGCAGTCGGCCACGGCCAGGCTCACCAGGTAGCAGTTGGTGGGCGTGGCCATGTTGCGGTTGCGGGCCACCACCACCACCACCATGGCGTTGCCCACCACGCCGATCACCAGGATCACGCCTTGGAACAGCGTGCCCACCACGCGGTACAGCAGCGAGTAGTACTCGGGCGCCTGGAAGCAGTACAACAGGTACAGGTCCCTGGCGCAGCGGCACAGCGCGTCCGCCTCCGAGCACGTGATGCCGCCCAGGCGCTCGTGGAACGAGCAGTTCATGAGGCTCGCCTCCACCTCCGCCGTCAGGTTGTAGGGCGCGTCCCACGCCAGCTCGCTCGGCGGGAAGCTGCAGTTCAACTCTACGGAAGCCATCGCGCACTCGCGCGAACACTTACTCCCGTTCGGGAATCAGAGAAAGGAATCAGAAACGGGGCACGAAATCTTAGTCATTCATTTCCGCCAGCGAGTCCTTCCACGCGCCCCTTGGCTTCCTTACAGTCAGTCACCTTTCATGGAGTAACTTGACACTCATCCTTCGAAAGCAAAGCAAGCATATAATGATAATGATAAGGATGATAATAATAATAATGATAATGATAATAATGATAATGATAATGATAATGATAATGATAATGATAATGATAATGATAATGATAATAATGATAATGATAATGATAATGATAATGATAATGATAATAATGATAATGATAATGATAATAATGATAATGATAATGATAATGATAATGATAATAATAATAATGATAATGATAATGATGACGATAATAATGATAATGATAATGATAATAATAGTGGTAATAATGATAATTTTGCCAACAACATTAACAATGATGATAATAATGATAATGATAATGATAATGATAATGATAATAATGATAATGATAATGATAATGATAATGATAATGATAATGATAATGATAATGATAATGATAATGATAATGATAATAATGATAATGATAATTATAATGATAATGATAATAATGATAATGATAAGGATGATAATAATAATAATGATAATGATAATAATGATAATGATAATGATAATGATAATAATGATAATGATAATGATAAGGATGATAATAATAATAATGATAATGATAATAATGATAATGATAATAATGATAATGATAATGATAATGATAATGATAATGATAATGATAATGATAATGATAATGATAATGATAATGATAATGATAATAATGATAATAATGATAATGATAATGATAATGATAATGATAATAATGATAATGATAAGGATGATAATAATAATAATGATAATGATAATGATAATAATGATAATAATGATAATGATAATAATGATAATGATAATGATAATAATGATAATGATAATGATAATGATAATGATAATGATAATAATGATAATAATGATAATGATAATAATGATAATGATAATAATGATAATGATAATAATGATAATAATGATAATGATAATGATAATAATGATAATGATAATAATGATAATGATAATGATAATGATAATAATGATAATGATAATGATAATGATAATAATGATAATGATAATAATGATAATGATAATAATGATAATGATAATGATAATGATAATAATGATAATGATAATGATAATAATGATAATGATAATGATAATGATAATGATAATGATAATGATAATGATAATAATGATAATGATAATGATAATGATAATAATGATAATGATAATGATAATGATAATGATAATGATAAGGATGATAATAATAATAATGATAATGATAATAATGATAATAATGATAATGATAATAATGATAATGATAATGATAATAATGATAATAATGATAATAATGATAATAATGATAATGATAATAATGATAATGATAATAATGATAATGATAATGATAAGGATGATAATAATAATAATGATAATGATAATGATAATAATGATAATGATAATGATAATGATAATAATGATAATGATAATAATGATAATGATAATGATAATAATGATAATGATAATAATGATAATGAT